TATATATATATTAAATTCATTTAGTATATAAACTTCTCTCTCTCTCTCTCTATATATATATATAAACAAAACAGCTTATAGTATGACATTCAGTCTAAAAGTTATATAAAATAACTATATATAATATGTTTCAGATTAATTATTTAGTTTACTCAGGAGTACTTCAAAGTCAATAGAAGTGTTAATTAGAAATGGCACTAATTAAATTACGTACAATACTGATTCATACACTGGATGGATCTTCGAGTGTTTGAATAAAACATTGTATAAAAAAGAATCTTGAAATGCATGAATGGAAGTTTTGAATGCTTGGACAGAATATTCAACCGTTTGAATGGAACCTTTCAAATGTTTACTCAGAATTCTTTGTAGAATCTACAGGCTTTGAATGTCTGAATACAAAATTGAATGAAATCTTCAATTCTATAAACTTCTAAATAAACTGATAAAAACAGCTGGCTCTTTGAATAAAATTGACTTAATTTATATTTTTAATAACTCAATTTATATTTTATTCAAAATGAATAATTCTTTATGTTTATTTGTTAAATAATAAAATCTCAGGTCTCTGAATGAAATGTAGTGTTCCCCACTGTACCCCAGGTGACATTCGGGTGCGGCAGATCAACCTGTTACCTGAGGGAGGGTACATACATACACACACACACACACACACACACACACACACACACACACACTTGAGAGTATCTCTTATGTTCTGGGCTGCTGCGCCGGATCTCCATTTATACTGTCATGAATACCTGAGCTGCCGTCTCGACAGCATTACTGGGAATCACAGGCGCAAGCAACACGTCCCTGTGATGCACAGAACTGTTGTATAGCTTTAGGTCGCTAGAATTTGGGACACAGACTTCAGTCCAAGTAACAGAAAGAAAGACAAAGCAAGCGGGCAGCGCACCTCTCTTTTCTCTGCTCTTTCGGGGGATGTGGAAGTTGAGTCGCGGCTGCTCTTGGGCTGGTTTCGCGGCCCACGAGATGCTCTTGACCCGTCTCTCTTCATCGGGATCGTCCGGACAATCCTCCTCTTCCTCCGTGGCGCCATTTTGGCTCCATGAAGGCGCAGCGGGATTGTCTTTCTCTTTGTCGCTGAATTTCCCTCCTCGACGCTCCATCGCTGCTTTATTCACGAGCTGCAGACATGAGCGGCCGCGGATCCTCCTCACAGGCGGCGTGGGGTTTGAGTCTGCTGCTGCAAGCGCGTCGCACCACACATAAACACACACACATGTACATGCCCACAGTGTGTGACTGTGAACGGAGCGCAGCAGCGCCACCCAGCGGGCTCCATCATAACACAGTACTCCAGCGCCGCCTGCAGGTGTCAGTGCTCCACTGCACAGTGTCCCTGCAGGTCACCACGAGCAAACACAATAGCACAATATACACACAGTCTGATAAAGCAATAAGCCCCAAGAAGCCGTGGTTTACAGTGAATTTATTACAGCTAAGGGGCGTTGTTAGGTAACGTACGACGCGAAGCGGAGTAAGTTAACCCCCTTAGCTGTTATAAATTCACTGTAAACCAGGGCTTCACGGGGCTTATTGCTTTTATAAAACAGTTATTCCATATACGTAGTGAGGTTTCACAGAATAAAACAAAACAAATAAAGTGTAATGATATTAATAAAAACAGTATTCTTCCACCAAACAATGTAGTTCCTCAGAATCAGTTGTGGTTGCAACAAAGTGGTTGCAGAGCAACAGACAGAAGTAAACAAAGGTGTGTGTTTGTAGAGTAATGTACAAAAGCTTCGAACGCGGCTCAGCCAATCAGAATCAAGGACCGGAACTCTCCGTTGTATAAAGCAATGTATGATATATTTATAACATAAATATTACATAAAAATATTTTCTAAATTGCCTGTAAACTGAATTATGAATGTGTCCATAAGACAAAATCTATAAAAAACAAAACAAAAAAAAAAACAAGGCAGATGGTATTAGTGAACTGCTATATTGTCCTTCATCTGTCATGAGTTATTGTTCTCCAGACTCGTCTAGGTGTGAGTCATCATCCATATGCACTCATGACCGTCATCATGTGCAGAGGGGCCTCACCCAGGGGCCCTGCTGCTGTCAGGGGGGAAGCACCTGAGATAAGTGGGTTCTTCAGGGGATATCACACAACCAGGAGCTCCAGCCATATGTCAGACCTGTTATTGTATCATAGTAATAATCTACCTGAAGGAGATCGATCTCAAGAGGTTCTGCTCTCACTAATCTGGACAGACATTAATATTTACTTAAAAAAAATACTTGTATTGAAATGTACTTTTATTCAGCAAGGATGCATTCAAGTGATAAAAAGCAACATTGATAATAATCAGAAATGTTTCTTCAGCAGCAAATCAGCATATTAGAATGATTTCTGAAGATCATGTGACACTGAAGACTGGAGTAATGATGCTGAAAATACAGCTGCGCATCACAGAAATAAATTACATTATACTACACTCTAAAAAATGCTGGGTTGTTTCAACCCAATGTTGGGTCAAATATGGACTAACCCAACTGTTGGGTTAAA